AAGGGCTAGGGCCCAAACAAGCAGGAGTAGGGATGTGGCACTGGGAAGACCCAGAAAGTGCTTCCATTGCCACCAATGGGGACATTTAAAGAGGCACTGCCCCCTGAGGCAGAAAGGGGGAGTGTCTGAGACAAGGGCTCGGTCAGAGACCAGCCCCAGGGAAGGGGTGGTGAAGACGGAGGCCCCTAGAGAGAAAGGGGCTGGGGCAGAGAGGCCCCACCAAAATGAGGGAACCCACTTAGGAGCCAGGAGGGCCCATGTGGGAACCCAAACAGAAGTAGGAACCCACGTAGGACCAGGGCGTTCTACAGTGGGAACCCAGACCCTACAGGTGGGAAGCAGCTGGCTCCAGACTTTGGAGGGCCTGCGAGAGGAAAGGGATGCCCTGCAGGGCCCACTACGAAGGAAGCTGGAGTGATAGGGACCCCTTTCCTCCCCTCCCCCATGAGCATTTTTAAGGGGGAGGGTTTGTGGTGGGACAGCTGCCCCACCCCAACGTGGGAGGGAACTAGAGTAGGCCAGAATGGCTGTGCAAGCCGTCAGCCAATCAGGGAAGGGCCTACTGAGAGCCAATCAGGGCCGAGATTAGAGCCAGCCAATCAGGGCTAGGCTAGGCCCTATATAATGGCTGCCCAGGAGAACAGCAGGTAGTCTGCCCCAGAATTTCATGGGGGAACGTCTGTCTCCAGAGCAGGAGACTAGCATCTTGGGCTGGGCAGTACTGCATCTGGCCATCCGGTGGCCGAGACAAATTGTAACCGGCCCTTGAGACAAGGGGCTAGACTTTGAGGGTTGCAGTTGGCCACCGAGGCAGGTGCAAGGGCTGTTGCTAACCCCCGCCCCCTGGAATGCGGTGAGGATGGACTAGTGGGCACTGCTGGAGGGGCAGTGGCCTGAAGGGCAGCGTCAAGCGGTGAGCAACGCGGCTCCAGATGCTAACGGAGGACAAGAGACGGATGGGACGCTGCCAGCAGAGGGCATTCCCCATGGCCTGAGCTAACTCCCAGAGCGACCAGCGGGAGGCGCCATGCTGGTGAGTCCCAACCCCGTCAAAATCTCCCAGCCCTATTGTGGGCCCACTGCTACCCTGCAGACTCTGGTCTGGACCAGACTGGGCCAGCTGGAGTGGCCTCCCTCTGAGTGGGAGAGCGAGAAGGGGAGCTAGTGGAAGGGGAAATGGAGCCCCCTGGCACTCACAGAAACTCTCTCCCCTCTCTGTGGAGCAGGGTTCTTCCCTCTGCCCCTCAAATTCCTTCATATGGGGCAGGACTTCTTTCCCTTGCACCCACTCCCCTCCCCCCTTTCCTTGGTCTACCCCCCCCCCCTCATTCCTGCTGTGCCCAGGCAGAGCTCTCCCTGCCCCATATGGTGCAGAAAAGCCTTTGTGTCAGGGCCACAGCCCCACCGGAGCTCGGAAAGCTCCACTTTTGAGGAGTGGGGGTGGGACAGTGGCTCAGGGCTAGCTTCACCTTCTGCCCTTTATTCTCCCCTTGGCCCTTCTATGGGGTCTCTGGGTGTGACAGGAATAGGAGCCTCCTTCCAGCTGTCTTTCTGGCACAGCCTCCCAGACGGGCGCTTCCTGTAGCTGAGCCACATCAGGGAGCAGTGGGGATAGGTCACCTTGTCCCAGCAATGCCGGCTCTCAAAGAGGCTTAGATGGAAGACCCCAGTCCCTCATGGAGGTAAGAGCCATTTACTTCTTGGGGTGTGTGGGTCTCTTGGGGGAGAAATGGCATCCCCGATGCATAGCCCTGCTGGGAGCTTTCCCTGTCCCTGGATCCCAGCCCTGGTACAGAGCCCTATTTCTCATCATGATATCCTCATTTTATTCTCAGAGGCTGTGTCCAGGATCCTGGAGACTGTTTCCTGCTGCAGGAGGTTTGAGCGGGGAGAGATCACTCACTGTCACGACCCAGGGGTCTCCGACCCAGGTCTGCAGGGTTCATGGGAGCAGCCACACTCCAACCCTCCGCCTCAAAGCCTGCTGAAAATTGCTTACCTCGGACCCATGAAGTTCAGCCCCAGTTTGAGGCTCCACTCCTGAGGTCCTATTGGAGGAGTCCCAGGAAAGCTCACTGGCCCCCTGGCCCTGCGTAAGACAGCAGCAGGAACACGAAGCTGACTGAACACCAGGCCTGCTCCCTGTTCTGGACCGTGAGCTGCCTGGTTCTGCTGCCGCTCCCCTGGCTTGATTTCCTGACATCTGAGTTGTGGTGGTGATTGCACGTTTGTCTTTTGCTGCTGATCTTCCAGTATCCTGACCCGGCTGACTCTCCATTCCTGTCATGTGAGTGTGGACTCTGGCTCTGACCAGTAGGTCTGGCTGCCCTTGACCCAGCCGTGACATTGACTTTGGTACAATTTCTCCAATGCCCCTTTCTGATCTCCAGCAAGATACACCAGTCCCTTGGCTCCCAAAGTCCTAGTTGCCCGCTATTCAAGGGCTGAGGGGTAGTGCTTGTATTGCCCCACCCCAGCTGCCTTGCCTATGGGAATCTCCCTAGAGCAGAGGAGAAATCTGCTCTTCTCTTAGGATCAGTCCCACCCTGGCCTCAGCTCAGCTACTTTGTTGACCTGGGGTCAGGCACCGCTTTTGAAGCCCTCAGCGTGTGGGTGGAGGTGGGAGCAGAGGCTGAAGCTCCAGCAGTTTCCACCAAAGAACACCCCCCTGTCTTTCTATGGTCCGGCTAGGGCTCCCCATGCATCCTGGAGCTGAACACCAGATGGGAGCTGATGGATTATCCTTGGTGGGCCATGTTCTTGTGTGTGATGAGAGGGCCAGGAGCAGATGCACCATGCCTGGCCAGGACCGGGCTAAACAGCCTGTAATGCTAGGTGAGTCAAACCAGACACCCTGGGCATCCATGGGGACTGAATCTGGGCCCTTCACTACCAAGAGCACAACTCGTTCCAACTAGAGTCATGACGCTGGTGACCCCTGCCAGCCCCTCTGAGGTGGGTCAGTATTATCCCTGTTCGCTGGAGCATAGGGATAGAAAGCAACTGGCTGCAAGGTCACACACGACGTCCCTGACAGAGGCAGACTCTGACACTAGGCCTTAAATGACAAGACCAACCTCCCTTCCACTCAGGAAGCCATAGAGGGGACCATCTGCTGAGCTCCCCTTGCCAATGCCGCTGTCAGAGACCATTGCTAGTCGGTGCCAAGTGCCTGAGCAAGGAACTGCTTGAGATCCTCCTAGAGACTCGCAGGTGTTTGACTGTGACCCTCAGGGAGTCGTGGCAAGAGCCTCTCCGGCTCTAACAAAGGGTTTCTGTTCTCCTAGATAGTCAGCCGGTGAGGCCACTTTGCAGAATGTGGAAGAGCCCTTTGGCGAGGCGTTGGAGGA